CAGAGAGAGAGAGAGAGTGAAAGGAAGAATTCAGATTGACCCTGCACAAATGCATAACAAAAATCCAAAGTATCAGTCCACAAAATCCAAACATTACACAGCAAAATACTCCAAGTTCAGTGCTATCAAATGAAAATAAACCTCGAAATCAAGTTGCAGTCCTTACTATGGATCCTTTTTGACTGCTCAAAGTTTGGGAATTCTACAAAATGCTCAATTAACTTCCCAAAATGAAGATAAAAACCTCCCATTCTTGGATTTCTACAAAAGTAAAACATATATTTGTATAAATTGGGTAAAATTAAGTGGGAACAACAATGGATTTCAAACATACACAAAAAAAAAATAATCAATGGAAGAAGGCCATGCAGTACCCAGTCTAAGTTTAAAGCAATTTGATGTGTATGTTGAAACTCATAAATATAACCAGCAAGAAAATAAATAAACTCATATAATTAGCAGAAAACAACAATGAACTTAAAAAATAAATATATACTTTTGATGTGCATTTGGGAGTTTTCTTGTTTGAGCATAACCAGGAAAGAAAAAAAATGCAAATCAAATATAAATACTCTATGTAGATTTAGGATTAATCTTATTTGAGCTTAATAAAACAAAAAAACAAAACAAAACAGAAAACAGACAAATAAAAAATAAAATCTCTTTTGTAGATTTGGGGTTATGGGAGTTTAACAATAAAAAATAAAAGGAACTCACTATATTTTTATGCGCTCATGAGGAAATCTTTGTGATAGCCTCGACTCTATCCCTAAGTAAGAAGACTTACTCGGGAGGATTTTTTTATTTTAATATTTTGGGACTTCCTTAAGAATTACTAGATGATTATTCTCTTAAAAAATAAAAATTTAAGTTCTCGAACACTTAGGTCTCACAATTTGAAAATGCCTTGGCGTCTATTCAATCTCAAGATATTAATTTTTTCAAGTGCAATAAAGTACAATTAGATATTTTTTATGAGGTTAACCCATGGGTTAAATAGGTTTTACCCAAGAGAGTAAGTGGATAGTGTATTCATGTGGGAGTAGCATATATAAGATACCAACCTTATACTGGCGAAGTAAGATATACCTCAAAAAATCGCTAGAAAGGGTTGTTTCAATGCTAAAAAACCCTCAAATTTATATTTTAACCCGAAGATGTATGGATATAAAAAAAAGAAGGTAAAACAGATTTCAAAACACCCATACTCGGCAAAAATGTTAAATTTTATAAATTTTAAGTTTATTTTAATAATTTCTTTTGTATGTTCATACTATTTTTTTTTCTTTTTCTTTATTCAAAGTACACTTACTTGGGACCTTAAATGTCCGAAGTGAGATGACAATCCTGAGCTTCTTATTTTGAATATCCATAATTTAAGATTCAAAATCTTAGATTAAGGTGTTCAAGGTTTGAAGCCATTTGTCTTAAAAAAAGAAAAAAAAAAGTGTTAACTTCGAACTTTCAAGGTCCAAAATGTCAAAGGACATACAAACCTTGAAGATCCGAAGTCATTTAGATAATACTTGATTTTGGACCATGAGACTCTAAAGTCAAAAAAAGAGATTTGACCTTAGACCTTGAGTTTCCAAAGTCATTAAAAGAACATTTGATTTTCAACCATGAAAGTGTAATGTTATTGGAAAAAAAGTCGCTTCAAATGTCGATATGAATTTGTTGTCACTTCAAACCTTGAAAGTTTGAAGTGGGGCATTTTTTGAAAAAAAAAGAAAAAAAGAAAAAGGTCTTCGAACATAAAAAAATTTAGGAATTTTTATAATAAAATTGCTTTAGGTGAGGTGCATGGTGTAAATTACTTTTTTCGAAATTCATGCTAATATCCACGGTAAATAGCAAAACTTGAAAAAAAAAAAAAAAAAAAAGGGTGTTTTATATTTATTTAAAATGTTTTCTTTCACTTTTTATTTATTTATTATTTTCCCTAAATGCCCCATAACTAATGTCTTTAAGGAAAAAGTTTTTATAAGGTTGCAACTTTAAGTAGAATTAAATATGTACATAAAAAATCCATCATAAAGAGGTTTTTTTTTAGATGTTGGACAATCCTCTAATTGATCATCACAACATCGTGATGTATGAATATGAAAAGAAAAAAAAAAGATTTCAAATCCGCGAAATAATATATCTTATAACATATTATCTGGGCATCTATTTTCAATATTTTCGTTATACTTGAATCATTTTTATAGTTTATACAAAATAAAAATAGATTCTCAAGTCAAATTTTTTATATAAAAATTATATTTATGATAAAATTTAGAGATATTCCTTAATTGGATTGTTTAAGGTTGCAACCTTATAAAAACCACAGCCTAATTTCTGAGCCGATGTAATAAAACAATGTGCACCAAGATCGGGCTTTTTCCTCTCTCCTCCGCCATTGTTAAAGGAATACGAGCTCGAGCCCTCTCCTCCTCTAAAACCTCTTCTCTTCCCTGTGAAATTCTCTCGGCCTTTCCTTTCTGGATCAGATTCCACTCAATTGTCCGCCATTGCAGAGACGAGCGATAAAACCCTAATTTCTCAAATCTGCTGGTCTATGCCATTTTCTTCAAGGATTCGTTCAAGGTCCATTGTTATTCGTTAGCGTCACTGTTCTCCTGAAAAGGTATGAATTTTATATAAAACTTTTAGAAAAAAAGGTATGAATCTGTTGGTTTTCATGAAAAGATTTATTCCATCTCTACATCCACCAATTTTTCCTCCCAATGGGTTTGATTTCTCTACCCCAAATCCATAAGGAAGCAATTTTTTATTTTTTTGCTATTTTTTGGCTCTGAAATTTTTCTTTTCAAATTCTTTTTCTTGAGTTTCCTACTGCATCTTGTGAGACCAGTTGATTTCTCTGTTCATAATAGAGAAATTAGTGCCCACTTGATTTCTGATGACATTCAAAACGCTAATTTTTTACCAAATTAAATCTCACAGAGAGAGGGGGAACTGGTGATAGGGTTTGAATCTTTCCTGAGTATTTGTTTGTGTTATAAAATTTCCATTAGTATTGGTGTATTCATTTTCTCTTTGAGTAATTTATACCAAGGCACAAGAAAGTTATAATCCTTAAAGTCCTTGTTTATATCGTTCATAATTTGCATTAAAAACCAAGTTTTATAGTGCAGAAGAGGAAGCAAAACAACCTGAAAAATCCTAGAAACAAGAAGACTCCATCTCCCATTTCTCCCCAGATTCGAAATTCAAGTTTTGCAGGAGAGAAGGGATAAAAAGGATCCAAAAACCACTGAAACCTGCAAGATCCGATCTCTGATTCACTCCCACTTACAGACAAACTAGATTGGAAAACTCCACAGAAGAAAAGAGAAAATAAAAATGCATATGGTCTCTGGTCAAGGAATGGGGCTTTAGGAAACAAAGCATATTTTCCTCAAACTTGGCCATTAGTGGTTACCATTCACAATTATTGGTCACCATGGCCTGTTTAGCCTTATCTCTTCAACCCGTTAATGGCCCCGACATCCTCTTGCAAACACGAGAATGGTTCCCTCCTGCAAGAGCTCTGATTGCCCTAGATTCATTTAGACAAACCCGACTCGCTTTCTCTTCTGGTAAAATGGCGGCACCTTCTGATGAACAAGATGCAGGCATAGGAGATGACCCACTTGCTGCTTTAAGTGGTTGATCATCACCGGTGTTTGAAAACTCAGGTGGGTCCACCCCGCTGAGCTGGAGACATAGGTGCTATGCTTGGACTACCACGTGTCGTTTGAGGTGCACATAGATCAGATTATGCGATTGTACTGGTGCTTGAAGGACAGTTGCTTATAAAAGCCATAAGCTCAACAACAAGGAATGGAGGTACTCGGCACACAAGAAGGAGATGGCTGCCATAGCACATTGCTTATGGTTGAGTGCTAGATTTCTGAGCAGAGTTTTGGTGCTAAATAGGAGCCTAACATGCCCATGGGAACTGGAGAATTTATCTGGTTGTCATTGTTTTATTATATTTTTTTGGACAAACTCAGCTAAGTCTATGACAGACTCAACCCAATCTGTCAAAGACGACTCGGACTTGGGACCCTTCTGAGTTCTAACCGATTTCATGTTTTCTTTCACTTGTGATTACTTCTAACATAAACAAATGATAAAGGAAATCACCTGATGGTGTAAGGGCATATATGTATATTGGCCAAGCACAGGATGGGAGCTTCATCCTGCACTTGTTAAAAATTCAGTGAAATTGCAAAATTAGCTGAGCCGCTACTAACAGTGGGGAAGAAGATACACTCATTAAACAAACGTAAACCCCAAATGGGGCCTTATGAGAATCTCTCACTATGCAATAGTCTCTCTCTTAATAACTGAAAAAAAAACTGGTGAAAAATGATATATTTTCTTATAAGGCAGACTACATTCACGGGAAGGGACCAGACTGGTTGTGAGTTCATGTCTCAGGAAGAAGCATAGTATGTATATGTTAGACTTGGGTTTTTATAATTTATAGTATCATTTTTTTGTGCATATATATAGTTCGTATTATATGAAGGGAAGTGTATTGAGGTACACGGTTTTTATGAGTCGCCCGACTCATATGTAGATATGTACCCTATCTCCATAATCCGTTTTTGAGATGGATTTTGAACTTAAGTTTTTGGGAATATATAATCTTTAACATGGGGAGCTGTACTATGTAAAAATAAATAAATTTTAAATTTTAAAAATGATAGTTTTTGAAGAATACATTTAGACCATTGATTTTGTTTTATGTAGGACTAACACTTTTTCACATACATCCTTAGGATGGATGTGTGATGCGTCAGGGGGCGCAAATGTAGTATTGTGTCCCGTGATGCAGAAAGCACTTTTTCTTTGTTAAATTACCCAAAAGTTTTACACCGCCTATATCTTTTGATTTAATTTCATAATACCCATAAAAACACAGAGTCTTGGATTGGAAGTTGGAATAGTTGCAAAATGGGAAAAATGCTGAATAATTCATCTCTATGGGTATTTTGATAAATTTTCTATTTATATATATACCTTTTGATCCTAACACACACATCAATGATTTGTTTTTTAAACCCCAATAATGGTTTTTTGATTGTTAGATATAGGGTTAGATGTGCTCAAAGTTCTCTCTCTCTCTCTCTCTCTTTGAAGTTGCTCATCCAATCTTTTAAAGACCATCCTCAAAATTTGGGGTCAAATGTATCCTATTTGGATGGTTAAATTAGGGGTGACGTATGGAGGGTGTATGGAAATTATATTGTTAGGGTCCTCTTCCTTTTTATGTATGAATATATTGTATGTATGGATACATGTTATACAGTGATGTTCATCTTTACACGTTTACAGTGAATCTGATAATGGGGGATCTAGTAGTTGACAAGCATGTTCAATACATTCTCAGTGTAGAAAAGGTATTTTCTTTTCTTTTTTTTTATTGAAACTGAATTTGTTTTCATTATTTAGTTGTTTTGAGCCATAGTTTATTTGGTGACTTAAAGTTAACCATTGAGAATAGTAAAGTAACTTAGAATTTGATTATAGTTATAGAAATGAATACCGAAAGCTAGAAAGTAGTCCCCTAATTCTGTTGACACAGTTCTTGTGAAACTGATATTGGCATGTATTCCTCAAAATCAGAAGAAGGATAGTTTTGAGTCTTTGGTTATGGAGCATTTGAGAATGAATGGTGCATACTGGGGTCTCACTGCATTGGATCTCATGGGGAAGCTTGGAGCTGTTGATCGAGATATGGTTGTTTCTTGGGTGTTGAAATGCCAACACGATTGTGGTTTGTAACTTTAGTTATAGTTAAAATTCTTCATGTTGGGATCCTGTAAATATTTTATGGAGGGAAATTATTGCGTGGTCTAATTGACTATGAAATATGGTACTCTTTCTCTATTATTATTATTTTAATATATGATGTATTTGATATATTGTCTTATAAGGCTACACCCACCTTCTGTTCCTATTGATGGATGGCTGGGGATTAACTGGAGCTGGTCTCATATGGACATTCACATTTGCCTGATTAATCTCTAACTGTCCATCATTGGACATGGTGGTGGATGTGGCCTTGGGGCACCAATTGCCATAGTGTTTTGGTTAGGTGTGCTGGTTCAAGGTGTTAAATTTACTACTAATTATTTGTTGGTTGAATCTTATATAGGTGCAATTGTTGGTTAAGTACTATATAATATATATAAGTACATGGAATATTATTTTTGGCTTGAATTGCGATCTTGTCTGACTGACACTACAAATGGAATTTAATGATGTTTTTGTTGATCATCAAATATTATCAAAGATGATTCCATTGAGTAGATTGCATGTTTCTTTTTTGTGCTCGATAGTGTTTTAGATTTGCTTTGTTCAGGTGCTTCAGTTGTTTTACCAAAGAGAAGTGGCCTGCTTCCGGCTGATTCAAAGCAGGAATCTATAGGATTTAGATAAAGGACAAAAAAGAAAAAATGGAAATAAAGAATGTTTGAAAAAATTGGGGAAGAACAGGGAAGCTAATCTCATACCTATTTGGTTGTAGGCAAATCTATTGTTCTAACAGGAATCTATAGGATTTTAGATAAAGGACAAAAAAAAGAAAAGGAAATAAAGAATGTTTGCAAATATTGGGGAAGAGCAGGGAAGCTAATCTCATACCTGTTTGGTTGTAGACAAATCTATTGTTCTGAACTGGGACCTTCTGTTTCCTCCTTGATTAGTATTACATGAAGGCCTTGGGTGAGACAATGAAATAGGGTAACTACTCTTAGCTAAGCTGAAGCTGGTTGGGAATAACCCAAAAAATAGTTGGACAATTGGACATAAAGAGATGCATCAGATCCATTGTAGATAGAGAAGTTGAGGAAGACTTGTTAGATTTTGCTTAATTGGAAGGATTTACCCTTTCCGAGTAGAAAGTAAGGCCCATCATTTTCAACCTTAGAAAAGGAAAAAAAAGAAAAGAAAAAGAGATATCTTCCTTAATTGCGGCAGCCTAGAGAAAGAGGTTAAACAACTTAGAAAAAGGGGTCATCGGAGCAATAGATTGAGGGTGTTGCACTAGAAGGGAGGTTGTTGGGAAGGAGGAAGAAAACTATAAAGAAGAAATCAGGAAAAATACGATAAACTCAAAGGTGAAGAGCGAAAGGGCAAATAATGGTCATGGGGTTTGCGAGGTCTAAGCAGGGTGAAGGGTTGCAGCTCGTTGCGGGATCATAATGTCGGCCTTACCATTTTCATTTTGAAATTTTATTGAGAGACGAGATTAAGTACTTGCATTAGTTTGAAAGAAGAAGAAAGATTACCTTCAATAAAATTTAGGTCTCTATCTATTTGCTACATTTTACTTCTCCAGGAAAAGGTAGTGCTTTCTTGCTTGCGTTTGTTCACCATATGACAATGTGGGATAGATCTGGTCCCATTGTCATGCTTGTCAATGCCTGCCAATGCGTGAATCATTTGTTTCAGTTGCTGGCCTAGATCATAGTTACCTGGTTTGTGGTCTGTTTTATATTTCACTGTTAGTGATTTGTTGCTTGTTCCGTGATTTGGAGTGTAAAATCACATCAATTTTGCGGTGTAGCTTTCAAAAGTGATCTGCAATTTGTGAAGTGGTATTGAGGATCCAATAACCACGGGTAGACCTATTGAGTTTTATAAATGCTTTCTGCCAATGTATGACAGATTAAGTTGAATGAAGATCATTATCTGAATTGTATATTTAAAAGACAATATTACAGGCTTGTTAAAACTTGAGAGTTAGAAGTACCATAAAAAGAAAAAAGGGCCTAGTTGATGTTTCAATTTGAACTTTGCATGGCGTGTGGTTTATCAGAAAATAATGGCACGGGGTGTGTGTGTGCATGCTTGCATTTGTAGGTTGGTGTTTATGTGCGTGATTGATGAAAATAATAGACCACTACAAGAGGGGTATGAAGGTGCTTCTGCACATATAACTTAGAAATCAATACATTGTCATGCACAATAGTGAGCTCTACATGTGGGTTGCGTATTAAGAGGAGTTAGGTTAATACATAAAGCTGTGAAACTGAAACATTTATTTATGGCTATGATTATCTGAAATTCATATTGGAAGATCATGCTTAAAGTCTGTAGATTGCATGATTATTACTCCTTGTTGATGGTGCCAATTTTTCCGTTCTGTCAATGTATTTGATTTTGTTGCACAAATTTTGTTTTCTTGCACGCTACATTTAATTGATACTGATAATTTGCACCTAGATTATGTAGGAAAATAAGGAACAATATTGCTTAATTTTGTAGGTGGATTTGGTGGTAATATTGGACATGATCCACACATTCTGTATACGCTCAGTGCTGTGCAAGTCCTTGTTCTGTTTGATAGGATAGATGTTCTTGACATTGATAAAGTGGCCGACTGTATCCGCTTTGTAACTTGGGAATTAAGTTTCTTCTGCTTCATTGCTTTTAGTTATAATTTGAACTTTGCATGAATCATGGAGTTGTAATTTCCCCCCCTTCCAAATTGGACTTGTCTAGAGCTATTAGGATGGGAATTTAGTGGAAATAGGAGACATTTTTCTAACTTTACTTCTATGTTGGATTTATGCCACTGGGCATGTTAGGTCGGTTGACATTTTCAAAAGATATTTTGCTTTAAGTTACCATTTAGAATAAAATTCATCCATGCTTCAATTCTGGTTTAACTTGATCAAATAGGTAGATATCGCCAGGCTGCAGAATGAAGATGGGTCTTTCTCAGGTGACAAGTGGGGGGAAATTGATACTCGGTACCAGTCTATTTTTCCTTCTTTTGCTTCTAATTTTTTCAACAAGACAAAAAGTGGTTCCTACAGGATTAAATCATCTTGAACTTGCAACTTTTGTTTACTTACTTCATTGTTCTTTACAATTTTATAGGTTTTCGTACAATGCAATATGCTGCATTGCGTTATTGCATCGCCTAGATAAAATCAATATAGAAAAAGCTGTGAGTTTTATATTGAGATGCAAAAATCTTGATGGTGGATTTGGTTGCACACCTGGAGGAGAGTCTCATGCTGGGCAAGGTACAAATGACACTTGCTTATATGTACTACTTCAGTTTGAGATAAAAATCCATGTGATGTAACTTAGGCCTGGGCCTCTTGATTTAAACTACGGTTTGGTGACTCTGCCATGCACAGTGATGTTATGTTCTTGTGCACTAATTTTTCCAAACCATATGTTGATGACTCATCCATGACTTGGCTCCTCATTAGCTTGAGTTAAATCATGTTAGGCAGACATATTTATTTCACAATCAGTGGCCTTCTGCCTTAACTTGGGAGGCGAAGGCTTTGTCATGTAACCCTTCCTTTTTTTTATAAATGTTTCCTCTCACTCTTAAAGTTGTGCTCCTTGCTATCCTCCTCTGCCATGTACGTCTCATAGATGTGGGGTCATTCTCTCCTATGTCAATTTATAATTATAGAAGCCCTTATAGTGATCTTGCTCTCTCTCTCTTTTTCTCTCTCACATCATTCTCCCACTCCCCAATCTCTATTTCCTCTCTCTAAATCTCTCTATCCATTTTGCTTCCCATACATCTTCTGGACCTATTGTATTTTTCTCAATGTTTTTTGAATTATTCAATTTGTATAAGTTATCCATATTCTATTTTTTTACTAAGTAGTTATATATTTATTGTATAAATTTCAAATTTATCGAGTCATATTCTTTTCCCAGGTCGCCAGGATACTCACTTAAGATTTAGTTCACGAAAAAAAAAAAAAAAACGAGGATACTCCAATTAAGATCTAAGTCGACTCAATGGCTTGTTGTTGACTTTATGTAGAGTTCTACATTAGTGAAATATGGCCTAAGCAAGTTGATGTGAGATTACTTGTTCATTACTGAAATATCAAAAAAAAATTATTTATCCTGAATGCGTGTGTATGTGGTTTTTATGATTGCAGTCTTTTGTTGTGTTGGTGCTCTTGCTATAACGGGTTCCTTAAACCTTATTGACAAGGACTTTCTGGGGTGGTGGTTGTGTGAGCGCCAAGTGAAGTCTGGTGGTCTAAATGGACGACCTGAAAAGCTTCCTGATGTAGGTTTTTTTTATTTTTGTTTTTTATTTTTTATTTTTTTCCTATGTTAAAATTTAAAGTGGGTCTTTTCATGTAATTCTGTTCTTTTGTTAGGAGTTCGAGAACTCCTATGATATGCTTCTTTGTTCCTTTGCAGGTGTGCTACTCTTGGTGGGTCCTTTCTAGCTTGATTATGATTAATAGAGTTCAGTGGATAGACAGGGATAAGCTTAAAACATTCATTCTAGAATGTCAGGTGAGCCCTTGTTTGTTCATTTGTGCTGCCATGGATTAGGAAGCAGATAAATGTTTCCTTTCAGAACATTGTAAAGAATAAACCTTTCTTTTGCACATACCAGCAGGTGCGGCATGCTTCTTTCATTTAGATCATGATCCTGATGCATGTGTCTGCAACAACCAAAACTTAAAGAGTGGCTATAGCTTCTTTCTTATCCGACCCTCTTTTTTTTCGTGTGGCTGTTTGTGTGTGTGTCTGTTTATACAGAGGGAGAGGAGAGAGATACATGATGTAGCTGTCCTATTTCTCAGCAACAGGAGGGATGGAGCTCTCTCTCTCTTCTTTCTTTTTTCTTTCTGCAGAGAGAGAGAGAGAGATTACATTTTTTGGGAGCAAAACATGTGCATCAAAAAAATACTCTTACATTTATTTAAAGAGATACTGATTTTTTAAAATCGAGATACGAGGCCTGTTTGGATACATGGAAATGAATCTTATGAACTTTATTTATTTATTGTTATACTCTCACATTTATTTAGAGAGATACAGTCCACTGAGGTTATAAAATCCAGATACGAGGCTTCTTAGGCGTGTTTGGATATCTGGAAATGAATCTCTGGGAGACTCATTTTCAAGGAGACTGGGCATTTATTCTGTTTGGATGCCATTTGGAGATGGAATTTCAATCTCCACGCAGATATTTATATCCACATTTTGATGCTTAAACATGGAGATGTGCATTCGACCAAAATAATAATAAAACTATTATTCTTTATTAGTATTTATAAAAATATTACTATTATGCATATTATTATGTTGTTATGCTTATTGGTTATATATTCTAATATTTTTTATAATAATATTATTATAATTTTACTATTATTATTATAATGTTACTATTATATTATTGTTATATTGATAATATTAATAATTATATTATACCAAAATATATTAGTAATGACATCATCATCATCATCATAATAGGCTTTTTTCCAATTAATTGGGGTCGGCTACACAAATCTTGGTTTGCCATTCTGCTCTATTTAGGGCCATACCCCTCAATGAGGCCACAAGTTCCTATATCTTTTCGGATTACTTCCAACCATGTCCTTTTGGGCCTACCTTTTGCCCTTTGCGAGCCTTCTACTTGAACCATATTAATAATAATATTATAGCATAATAATATCAATACGATTCAAGCAGAGACAAGAATCTTATTGGTCCCTTATCAGATGCTATCCAAACAATAGACAGCTATATCCTAGGAGATGTCAATTCCAGGTTAGGCATCTCCTTAGGACATGCATCTCCAGGTATCGAAACAGGGCCTTATGGTTCACCTGTTATTCTGTTCTACAGAATAACATTATTCTTCGCTTCCAAATTGTAGTGGAATTGGAAAAATCAACTTATTCATAACACATTTCCTTTGCTGTTTTGTTTTTCAATTGAAACTGTTGATATGTTATATACTTGATGGTTAAATAAGCACATAATCATTCTTACTAATCAAAACAATGTTTAAAACTCACCGGTTTGATGCATGACTTGCTTGAGTTGGGCCCGATTGGGAGCCATGCAAATCCGGGGCCAAAAAATGTTTGAATCACTTAACTTCTTTTTTCTTTATTTTCCTCTTGTGAAAACTTTCTTGCAATCTGAGTATGACTGGGGGATCCGGGGATCGGGACCCTTGCAAGCTCTTACCCAATTATGAATGCTTTTGTGGAACTACAAAAAGCATGGTGACTTCATTGTCTGGGGGGGCGGATTTACATTGCATCCACACACTAAATTAATGGATAAATAGCTATAAATATTTTATGAATTCTGTTTCTTTTGTTCATCCGCATCTCTTTCTATGATGTGAATTGAGTAGAGTGAGTTGTGATATCAACATTATATGATGCATAAATGAAATTAGCCATTGAATGATATCTTTTGGAATGTAGGACAAGGAGAATGGAGGTATCTCAGACAGGCCAGACGATGCTGTTGATGTTTTTCATACTTATTTTGGTGTTGCAGGTGAGTCTCTGTGTGTGAGCATTTCATTGAATCTCTCCCCCTCCCCCACCGCTCATCTGGCGCTCCAAGTTCCTTGTGTTGGGTCACTCTTCATTATAACCTCGAAGTTACACAATCACATCTCGATTTTTTACTGGGCATGCTTTCTATGCTTCCCCTACAACATAAAACTTATATACTTCCTCTTATCCAACACTCCATTCTGAATGGAGGGCTAAGATTGCCCCAATCACAATGTCATGTCTCTACACTATTTTATTTTTAATTTTGTTTCTATAAACTATTTTGACACCAAATTTTGGACGTCCAATCCTCTATTAAACTATTTTGACACCAAATTTTGGACGTCCAATCTTCTGTTAAACTCACACTAGCGAAAAATATATAAAAAATATTTCCAATAAGATAAAATGACCAAAATACCCCTGAAAGTTTCAAAGGGTATTGTGGTCATTATATTTTATAGAATTTTTTTTTTTTTATAGTTTTTATAAGTGCGCCCCAATGAGAAGATGACACGTACCAAATTTCATATTCATACAATTTGTACAAAAATAACTAGAAATAAAATACTTTGAGACGTCGGATCTAAGATCAAACAACGAGTGCCTATCTTGATCAAAATTGGATGGCTGGATGGTAGGGGAAGCATAGATCTTCTATGCTGTAGGGGAAGTATATAAACCTTTCCTATTTTTACTCTGTGCATACTCACTCTCTCTCACTAACTTTAGGCTTGTGGTTTGGTTCTCTCTCTCTTCCCCCCGACCTCCCCCCCCCCATCCCAACCCAAACCCACTCTTAACTTCTTAGTTGTGGGTTTAGATCCATTAACATGAATATCGATTTTTGTGCATGTCACACTTGAGAAACTTAAATATTTTTTTTTAACTTTTCTTCATGTAACTTTCACTAGAAAAGTAGCCCCCATCATGGGATTTTTTTGGCACTTTCTTGAGTTGTGGGCGTCGCACACTTTCCGTAACTAAACAACAGTTTCTGTAGAGTTCTGTCAAAAAAAGAAACAACAGCTTCTGTAGAGCATTTTAGGATATTCCCTCGATAACAAACTTTTTATATAGAGCATCCAATCAGTGGATACGTATTTTTGAGCAATGTATATCAGCTAATACAAAGTAAACAGTCTAGAAAAGTACTAAAATCCCACCCCACCCCACCCCAAACGTTCCCCCGCTTATCTTCTCTTTAGATGGCATATGGCCATTTTGTGTTGTAAGTACAATTTTGAGATTTTGTGTTTTTGACCATTTGTATTGTAAGAGACTGACACATATCTCTGTTTTTGTTAGAGACTGACACATATCTCTGTTTTTGTTTTTTTGAATGTTAACGGTAATTTCATTGAATGAATGAAAGAGTAAAATAAGTACACAATAGAGAAGAAAAGCAGAGAAAGAGAGAGAAGATGACAGAGGAGGATCAAAAGATAAGATAAGAACAAAATGGAAGAGAAAAAGATGGGAGGCAGAGGGGGTAAGAGTAGAAGAAAGGGAGGGATGGCAACAAAAACTAAACTGTGGCCATTTTTACTAGGTTGTCTGCTGCTCCATTCTTTTCTCTGTTAATGAGGTTGAAGATGACCTCTCCGCCCTGTAGTTTGAGCATTATTTTATCCGTGATAGAGGTCAATAGCCACAGAATCAAGCAGGGTTCTCACATCACCTGATGACATTATTAGGGTCTATGATGATGCGTTCTTGTCCCTCATTAAGCTTTAAAACACCTTCTTTAACTACCCGAAGCTCTGCCTCGTTAACATCACAGAATTGAAGTTCTCCGTGATAAGTCCAAATGACATTCATGAGTGAATCCCTCAAACTGCCACTACAGCCAGCCTTTTGTGTCTGCCTGCACACTCCCATCAAAGTTCAATTTCAGCCAACTTTCTGGAGGTGGTTTCCAGTCTGCTGATTTGACAACCTTTTTGGGATCGTAAGGAGGCCAATAAAGATGGTAAAGAAGGATTCTTTCAGGTAGCTCCTTAAGTTTAATGTAGCATGTGCCCAGAGAATAATCAGCCTCATCATCACTTTGGTAATTTCCACTAGTTCTCTGGGTTATCCCTCAAATACTCTTAGCATTTCTTTCCTTCCCTAAACTCCAGAGAAAGGCTGCTATTAAGATGTTGCCAAAGGTGAGCTCCTAGCTTGGGATAGGGCGGAGTAAGGCTGAGTGCTAGGAATTGCTCAATAGTCCCAGGCATGATCCATTGCCAATTAGATAGACTTGTGACCTGGTCCCATAAACCTCTCACATGAGGACGATATAGAAAGACAAGGTTGCTAGTTGCTGCATCTTGCTTGCATCGAATACATTCACCAGGACTTTGCCCCACTTCCTGAGTTGCTCTCTTGTCAATGCAGTCCTGCTTCAGTAACCACGGAAAGGCCTTCACTCTTCTAGGAGTGTTTATTCTCCAAACTTTGGTGTTATGGTTACGCATTTCAAGAATTCTGTCATTGCTGATTTCATGATACAAAATTGAACCGAAAATGAGCCACTGGTTGTCAATTCCTAAATGGAGTCCTATATCTGAGGGAAATGAAAAGTTGAATAGAGTTGCTACATCAACGAAATATATTGTTGCTCCATAGTAGAATCAATTCTTCTCACTGACAATTCAATATTCCAAATAAAATCATTCCTCAAGCCTGTGACCATATCTGAGAGAGTGAAGTGTTTAGAAGTTGACCATCTATAAAATTCAGGGTACTGAAGCTTTAGGTGTGCATTTTCCAACCATTTGGCTGACGAAAACTGTCTTGGAGCCAATTACTAACACACATAGGACTAATTAGTTAACACAGGTTTGAATCTAGTTCTTTTTGCACGTATACTCGAGTTATTTTTGTGCATGCTCTCTCTCTCTCTCTCTCTCTCTCTCTCTCTCTCTCTCTCTCACTATACTA